TTGCCCTCTCCAATTACTGGTGAGGGCACCATCTCTCTCACTCCTACTCTATCCTTGTCTCGTGCGTTACTAATTCTCAATATCCATTGTAACTTGTTATATATTGGTCGATTACTTGATACCCTTAATGTTTCTGCTACTTTCTATCATATGCATTGCTCTTTTCAGGATCTCAAGACTCACAAGGTGATTGGACATGGTAAACGGATATGGGTTATATTATTTGACATTGCATTCTGCACCAGTTCATGATCGTGTCATTAATATTGTTCAAAGTTATAGTGTCAAAGACAAATAGCAAATTTGGTTATGGCATCGTCGCTTGGGAAATCCGTCATTTGGCTACCTTAAGCGTCTGTTTCCATCTTTATTCTGCTCTTGTGATGAGTCTAGTTTTAAGTGTGAGATATGTATTTTGGTCAAGAGTCATCGCACTGTGTTTCCTTTGAGTGACAGTAAAGCTGCAAAGTCTTTTGATTTAGTGCATTCTGATGTGTGGGGTCCGGCTCGCATTACTTCGAACGGATTTCGTTGGTTCATCACATTTATTGATGATTATACCCGACTCACTTGGGTTTTCTTGCTGAAAAATAAACATGATGTTGCTTCCATCCTTCCAGAGTTCTGTACTATGGTGTCTACTCAATTTTCGGACTGATAACGAAGGTGAATATGTGAATAACACTTTGGCATCTTTCTTCCGTGCTCAAGGTATTATTCACCAAACATTTACTTCTCAGCAGAATGGTGTGTCTAAACGCAAGAATCGTCAATTACTTGAAGTTGCTCGCTCTCTTATGTTGGACATGTCTATTCCCCATCATCTTTGGGGGCATGCTGTTTTATCTGCTACCTATTTTATTAATCATACTCCTAGCCGGGTCCTTGATTTCAAGACAACACATGATGTGTTTGGTAACCATGTTTCCCATGTCTCAATGCCTAAAGTTTTTGGGTGTGTTGTCTATGTTCATGTTTACTCTCATCAACGGAGTAAACTTGATCTTTGGGCTCTATGATGTGTCTTTATTGGTTACTCTTCTACTCAGAAATGTTATAAGTGTTATCATCCACCTACCCAGAATGTGCATGTTACTTTAGACGTGACTTTTCATGAAGAAGTGTCATATTATGTCTCTCCCTCCTCTTCAATTCCAGGGGAGAGGGGGATTGAATTGGAGAATCTTGGATTGAAGAATAATGTGTTTGAAGATACCGTTCTCAAGAAGGAAACGATCTGTCGCACCGAAACAAGTGACCGGTTGCCCATATCTGAAGATGAAACTTATGGTCCCTGTGAAGAAACGACTGATCGCCCTTCGGAACTCGACCAGTCGCCCAAATCTGGAGATGAAGCAGGAGCTCTCGGTGTCGAAACGACTGTTCACACTGAAGTAAGTGACCAGTCGCCGGTATCTGAAAATAATGACAGTGATTCTTGTATGGATGAGTTCGATGCAATACCCTCATTTGCCCTGCCAATGCCTCAATCTACTCGTGATAGTGAATCAAGTGAGGTAATTTCTAATGATCTATCTGTGTCAACTTATCAGTTACCCCCACGAACCACTCGTGGGAAACCTGAAGTACAATATTCTTCTGATATACATGCCAAGTCTAAATATCTCATTAGCAATTATGAGTTAACTCATCGTTTGTCTAATTCATATGCATTATATTTGTGTCAATTATCTAGTGTATGTGTGTCAACTAAACTGCATGATGCTTTATCTAACCCCGAATGGATGGATGACATGAGTGTTGAAATGGATGCCTTGAACAAGAATAAAACATGGGATTTAGTTCCTTTGTCATGAGGGAAAAAAACTGTTGAATGCAGATGGGTGTTTATTTTAAAGCATAAAACTGATGGTTACATTGACCGTTACAAGGCTAGATTGGTAGCAAAGGGTTATACTCAGACCTATAGACATCGAATTGCAGCATCTATGAAGAAATTTGGGTATGTGCAGAGTAACTCAGACCATACTTTGTTTCTAAAGCGTCATTAAGGTAAATTGACAACTTTAATTATTTATGTTGATGATATAATTGTGATTGGAGATGATCAGGCAGAAATGCAAAATCTTCATAAGTATCTAGCTTCCAAGTTTGAGATGAAATCATTGGGTGATTTGAAGTACTTTCTTGGGATTGAAGTTGTCAGATCTAAACATAGTATCTTTCTGTCTCAAAGAAAGTATATGTTGGATTTACTTGCAGAGACTGGAATGTTAGATTGTAAACCAATTGATACTTCTAGTGAACAGAATCATAAGTTGGGGTTGTATCCTGATCAAGTCCCTACAGATAAAGAGCGTTATCAATGACTTGTGGAGAAATTGATTTATTTATCTCATACACATCCTGATATTGCATATGCAGTAAGTGTAGTGAGTCAGTTTATGCATTCTCCTAGTGAAGATCATATGGGTGTTGTGATGCGCATCTTGAGGTATCTAAAAGTAACTCATGGGAAGGGGTTAATGTTTTGCAAGTATGGTCATACAGATGTGGAAGGGCATACGAATGTTGATTGGGCTGGTTCAGTCACTGATAGACGTTCTACGATTGGATATTTCACATTTGTTGGTGGTAATTTTGTTACTTTATTATGATTGAAAAGATTGTTGAGAGATCTTAAGTTTAGACCCCAGAAACCCATGGATTTGTATTGTGATAATAAAGCTGCAATTGCAATTGCACATAACTCTGTGCAACATGATCGTACAAAGCACGTGGAGGTTGATCGACATTTTGTTAAAGAGAAGTTAGATACTAGAATTATTTATTTTCCGTTTATGTGATCCGAGTATCAACTGGCAGATGTTCTTACGAAAGCTGTGTCTACTACGATCTTTCTCAACTCGCTTGACAAATTAGACATGCGTGACATCTTTGCTCCAACATGAGGGGGAGTGTTAATAAGATCCTAGCTTATTTAGGATATTTATTTCCTAGTTTATTAGGATTATATTTCTTTCATTTTTGTATAGATATTGTGTAATTAGGTTTTTATCTTGTTTCCTAGTTTAACCCTAGTAGGGTTACATCCTTGTACTATAAATATCTTCATTTGGAGAATGAAATACAATATGAAAAATATTATACCCATATTGTTTGACTATTATAATGGATACAATATAAAGATTCAACCTCCGCCCCTACCTAAAATGTTAATTTTATATCTAGTTTTAAATTCTTGTTAAATACTGCCTAACCTTATCTCCAGAAAAATCCACACTCAAGGGACACCACCACCACCACCACTACACGTCAGATTTTAAGAAGAGTTATCTGTCCTTTTACTCTGTGAATTACACCATAATTGCCAATTTATTCTATAGACATTTTTTTCTCGCTTCAACTATATGAAATAGGGCAATTTGGAACTTCCCGTTAACTTTTTGAATGTCCATCAAAATTTTGTGAATATTAAGGGCACATTCGCAATTGTAAAGAAAAAAAAAATACACCTTATTAAATAATAGTATAAAAATTATAATAAAAAAAGTAAAAAAGTTGATGTATATCCAAATTCTCATTGAGGAGTTAGGTTTAATTCGGATTTGCTCACTTTGATTCAAGTCCTTTGATTTTTGTGCTACATAGAATTACATTCATATTTTAATATTTTTTAATGTAATTTTTTATTATATTATTTTTAAAATCAGTTTTTGTTCCAATGTTGCTCCTTATGACTTGAATCAGGTAATAGTCATTTATGTCATATTGCCTAAACCCTGAACCCTATTGCCTATTGCATAGGTATGTATATGTTTTTCATATTTTCGACAATGTGTAATAGTATTTTATGTACCTTTTTTTAGGTAACATACAATTTTATTTTGTCTATTTTTTGTACTTGACTTGTAAGTAGTCTTCTAATTTATGTTTCTTAGTCTTCTAATTTGTGTTTCTAGCTTATTAGTAACACAATTTATCACTAAGTTTTTTTCGTTGCTAATAATAATACTATTTACCTATATGTTATGTACATAATTTAATGTGGGTGCTTGTTTGATTGATTGGTATAATATATGGGTCTTTACTTTTTATTGATTAAATTATATTTTATCCATATATTATGAACACTATCAATGAAAGAATTCAAAATTTAAGTTCTGGAATTCAATTACAAGGAAATAATGCATTGAATTTAGATTTTCGATGTGTTTTCCTCAAAGGTTAAAATTGATACAACAAAAAAAGTAATAAATGTCAAATGACCTATATCTGAAACAAAAAATGCAAAGACTAAACCTAATGACATTTAATTATCTTTGGACCTAGATTTAGGAAGCTCTAGAAAAAGCACATTATCCTCCTCTGGCGAACCCAGCCCCACCCCTATATATATTATTCTCTGTCTCCTCAAAATCAACAGACCCATATCCACTTCATTTATCTGGTCTTTCCTGCTAAAATATGAATATGGTTTGAATGTATTAGGTTGAGTTTTATTATTCTCCATAAGGACGTATATATAGGAGTTTACATGAGGGTCTTACAAGGAATTAGATACAGTAAAGAATTAGGAAAGTATCTCCTAATTGTACAATGATTTATCACTTATATCAAAAATAGGAAAGTAAATCCCTTAATTAATCAAGGAAGTAAATCTCCTTGATTAATTAGGAGACTCACATCAACACTCCTCCTCAAGTTGGTGCATATATGTCACCAATACCCAACTTGGTAAGTGAGTCATGAAATACTTTTCCACAAACAGCTTTGGTTAAAATATCTGCCAGTTGATCTTCTGATTTTATGAATGGTATGCAGATGATCTTTTTCTCAATTTTTTCTTTAATAAAATGTCTATCCACCTCAGCCTGTTTGGTTCGATTATGTTGAACTGGATTATGGGCAATACCGATAGCTGACTTGTTGTCACAATGCAATTCCATTGGCTTTTCTGGCTTGAAGCCCAATTCTGTCAAGAGTCTTCTGATCCACAATAATTCACAACCTCAGTGAGCCATTCCTCGATACTTTGCTTATGCAGTAGACCAAGAAACCACATTTTGCTTTTTACTCTGCCAAGTAACTAGGTTACCTCCCACAAATGTAAAGTAATATGAAGTAGAGCGTCTATCTGTAATAGAACCAGCCCAATCTGCATCCGTGTATCCAACAACTTCAAGATCTCCATTTTTGGAGAACATTAATCCTTTCTCAGGGGTTGACTTTAAGTATCTTAAGATTCGATCAACTGCATTCCTATGAGGAACACTAGGCGAATGCATAAACTGACTAACCACACTCACAACATATGCAATATCTGGTCTTGTTTGTGCCAGGTATATTAACCTTCCAACAAGGCATTGATAATGTTCCTTATTGATTGGTTCTTGGTCCATGTCTTCACACAACTTGTGATTCATCTCAATAGGTGTGTCAGCAGGCTTACATCCAAGCATTCATGTTTCAGTAAGTAGATCCATTACATACTTCCTTTGATACATAAATATACCAGTTTTAGATCTTACTACTTCGATTCCGAGAAAGTACTTCAGATCACCTAAATCCTTCATCTCAAATTCTTGAGACAAATACTTTTGCAACTTCAGTTGCTCTTCTACGTCATTTTTAGTGACGATTATGTCATCTACATAAACAATTAATGCAATAAGTTTTCCTTCATCAAGCTTCAAGAACAGGGTGTGATCTGAATTACTCTATGTATATCCAAAATTCTTCATAAATTTAGTGAATCTGCTAAACCATGCTCTTGGAGATTGCTTTAACCTATATAATGGCTTTCTGAGTTTGCAAACTTGATTTTTCTTGTCATAAGCTGAATTACATCCTGGGGGTAAGTTCATATATACTTCTTCTTCCAAGTCTCCATGTAAGAATGCATTTTTGACATCAAACTGATGTAGTGGCCAATCGAGATTTGCTGCTAGAGACAATAGGACTCTAATAGTGTTAATCTTAGCTACTGGGGCAAAGGTCTCTTCGTAGTCTATCTCATATCTCTGTGTGTACTCCTTCGCTACCAATCTAGCTTTATATCTTTCAACGGATCCATCTGCTTTAAGTTTCACAATATAAATCCACATGCATCCTACTGTCTTCTTTCAATGGGGTAAGGGCACGAGTTCCCATGTGACATTCTTTTGGAGAGCTTGCATTTCTTCATTCATAGCTTCTTTCCATTTTGGGTCTTCTAGTGCTTCAGTTACACTGTTGGGGACAGTTATGTCAGCCAACTTCTTCACATAGTGCACACGTGGCTCTGATAATCTGCTGAGAGATATATAATTATTGATGGGGTATTTCCCTTTGGCTTTAAGATCTGCTTCATATTGTACTCGAGGTTTGCCACGGTTCTTCTTTTCTGGAAGCTGATATGTAGGCTCTGTGGTTTTTGAAATCAAATCTTCATAGGATATTTCATTAGTGTTATCAGTTTCAGGGGAAGATGTTACCTGAATGACTTCCTCGGCAGTTGATTAGTGCGATACTGGAGCTGAAGCGGGCAAAATCTCATAAAATGGTTCAATTTCCTCATCCTGATTTTGATAGCGTGGAGACAACTAATCGTTTTCCTCTGGTAACCGGTCGTTTTGAAGCAAGTTCTCTGTAGTTGAAGAACTAAGGGGAGGCGACCGGTTGCTTTCCACTGGCAACTGATCATTTTGGTGCAGAGTGACGTCTTGGGGAAAAAATCGAGAATTTGAGCAGTGGTGGATTCTCGATTCTCCTCCTGGGCTGTTGAAAAATAAAAGTCATGTTCTCGAAACACAACATCTATGGAGGTGAAAACCTTCTGACTAGGAGGATGATAACACCGGTATCCTTTCTAATGAAGTGCATAGCCAATGAAAACACACTTTTCGGCTCGGGGATCCAATTTACTTCGTTGGTGATCATGTAAGTGGACAAATACAACACAACCAAAAATTCGAGGTTCTAGGTTTGGGGTGGGAGGTGTTTGGATATGGTGGTGAAGTGTTTGATGTGGTGTTCGGAAATTTAGGATACTAGAGGGAATCCGATTGATAAGGTATGCTGCAGAGACCACGGCTTCGCCCCAAAAGTGTCGTGGCATATTGGCACCAAAGAGAAAGGCACGAACGACTTCCAATAAGTGTCTGTTTTTTCTTTCAGCCACCCCATTCTATTGGGGAGTGTAAGGGCATGAGCATTGATGTATGATGTCATGATCTTGTAAGAACTGGTTAAGATCATGGTTGAGAAATTCTCCGCCATTGTCAGAACGAAGAACCTGAATTCTGGCATGAAACTGAGTCTCCACCATTTGATAAAACTGTTGAAACCTGGAACTGACTTCCCATTTAGTTTTGAGCTGGGAAACCCAAGTCATGCATGTGCAATCATCTATAAATGTGACAAACCATCGATTCCCTGCTGGAGTGGCAATTTTAGCAGGTCCCCAAACATCAGAATGAACAAGGGAAAACGGAACCAAACCCTTATTTGAACTTAATGGAAACGGGATACGATGGCTCTTAACCAATTCACACGTATCACACTGGAAGCTGGAAACATCAAGACTGGAAAATAATGATGGAAACAACTTCTTAAGATAACCGAACAAGGCATGCCTAAGACGTTTATGCCATAACCAAACAAGAGTATGTCCATTCGATTTTCAGGTATGTTGTTGATTGTCGAAACGCTCACTCATCCATCCATCTATCTATCAGTATCAGCCAACCAGTAGTACTAGTTCTCACTCCTTTGACTAGTTCTCACACAATCATGACATTCGCCACCTTGTTCTTGATCATGCATAACTACTCAATAATAATACAATGTATAACTCCCCAGGAATTTCAATTGCGCTTATATTCATCACTGTTGGAATTGGGTTAACAAAGGATTCCCTTTTTATGTGGAAAAGGCCCGTATCAATAATTATGATTTTACGTATAGACAATTCCTCAATATCTTGTTCATTCAAAATGAAAGATTGGCCCGTATCCTCCTGTCTATAATATATAATTTGTTTCCGTTGCCTTCATGGTCATGCTTGGCGTTGCTCTCAAGCAATTGTTAATTTTATATGTAGATTTAAATTCTTGCTAAATACTGTGTAACCATATTTCGGAAAAAATTCATACACTAGGGGCACCGCTACATGTGAGACTTTAAGATTGCTTGACATTCAAAGTAGGGTAACATTCCTCTCACATTGAGTGGGACCCACATGCGAGGCCCTGTGTATGGGTCTCACCATCATGCATGTCTTTGTCCATGCTCATACTAGAACTGTGTCATTGATTGATTCCTAACTAAGGAATATATATGTACCTGGACCGTATCTTCCTCTTAATATAATATAGGGATTGACCAAGCGCATGAAGAGACTTAAGCAAGACAATCGACCAACTCTTAGATAAGATAATTGGGGAACACCAAGAAGTTTCTAAAAGTGGGCAAGCACACCAAGGCCATCGTCACAAGGACTTTTGTGGACGTGATGCTTTCGTTAATGCACCAACCATTGAATCCCAACGATGAGCAAGTCTACATGATTGACCGCACAAATGTGAAGGCCATCTTACTAGACATGATTTCAGGTGCCTTCAATACACCAGCTGCCGCCATAATTTGGACCCTCGCTGAACTCCTGAGGCATCCGAGTGTAATGAAGCATCTCCAGCAAGAGCTCCAGAGTGTGATTGGAACGGACCAAATGATGGAAGAGAGTGATTTGCCAAAGTTGGGTTACTTGAACATGGTGCTCAAGGAGAGCTTTAGGTTACACCCAATTTCACCATTGCTCATCCGACATGCATCCATGGAGGACATTACAGTTGAAGGACATGACATACCCAAGAAATCGACAATCTTTATAAACGTTTGGGCTATTGGGAGAGATCCTAATGTCTGGTCAGAAAATGTGGAAGAATTTTACCCTAAAAGGTTCATTGATGGCAATATTGACCTTCTAGGACATGACTTCCAGCTCCTACCATTTGGGTCTGGTCGAAGAGGGTGCCCTGCCATGCAATTAGGGCTAACCACAGTCCGGCTGGTTCTCGCAAACTTGGTCCACTGCTTCACTGGGAGCTCCCAAGTGGCCTGAAACCTGAAGATGTGGACATGACTGAGAGAGTCGGCTTATCGCTGTCAAAAGCCGAACACTTGCTTGTCATGCCAATCCACCGCCTACGCGAAATAAACACCCATCCATTTGCTATTGATATGTTAAATTCCCTCAAAATTATTCAGAGGGAGTGGCTTAAATAAATGTATCCATCAGTGAAATTTGAATAAAATGATTTCTGTATTAACAATAAATAAAAGGGGCAGTGTGACAAATTTATTAATAAAAGTAGACACCAATTCCTTACCATCGGCATTTCGATCTCTCTTTGGGGTCTACGACCAAGAACAGTTGAAACACTTTTAACCCTGGAACTAATCCGAGAGCAATTACTTATACATAAGGCTTGGCTAAAAATAATCTTTCAAGTATGATTAACTTATAAGAAGAACTGACTGTAACCATGACCATTTAAAAATAACTATACCATTAAAAATTCTGAGCGCATACTCTGCTTAATATTACATAACACCATCTCAATGAAAAAATTTGCTCAAACTAGATTCAAAATGTTCACTAGGAGTAATACACCATTGCCTGCGTCTGAAAAAAAAAACAAAAACAAAAACAAAAATAGCAACATAGTTGCCAAAAACAGAACATTTGTCCTCCCCCTTCCCTTCTCAAAGCTCATGGTTGTCTACAAAACAAAAAATAGAAGGCACAAAGTTAAAGTGTACGTTCAAACTTCGAAGAAAGACCCAGTCTCATTTAGTATTATGAAATGGCTAAGTGTGAAATTTAAAAATAAAATGGTTTTGCAAGAGCACAATGTCAAGAGTGAAAATTGCACATAGAACACACGTTGAACTACAAGTACAACACAAGTGCAACAACTTTATGATATAGAACACACGAAAAACCTCGGACGTGCAGAAAAGAATCGTACTCTACTACATCTACTCTACAAGAAATATAACACAAATGCACAAGAAGCTGAAAAGCACAACAGAACAGAACCACAAGACCACACAGCTGACTATAACAGTGAATACAAAACCAGACGCATAAAACAATATAGAATAACTAACAAAGAAAAATAAAAATAAAAAGTATGACAAGACCACCTCCACAATTACATGTTCAAGTTATTAGTTTAACAGCTCCATATAGGTTCCACTGTGATAAGCTGAAAAACAATATCCATGAACTAGTCCGTGACCCTCTTATTAGCCATTTATTATCTACATGTCAAAAACATCGAAACCCAGAGAAGAAGCAAAATGAAGAAAGAGAGCATCCAAGCAAGATGATAATAGAAAGCCAATCAGATAAACAAATCGAAAATAAAAAGCCAAACTAAAAATGAAACACCAAAAGAAGAAGGGTTCAAGGACATTATCTGCCAAGCCCTTATAACTTTATGAGTGGGATAACCTAGTAAATATAAAAATTGTAACACGATCGAATTTACCCATGCGTGAAACAGATACAATAAAGATGTACAAGCATGAAATAGAACATTTCCATGTCCCAACAACCATTACCATCATTGTTATCAAAGAAAACAGTAGTACATTCATCTTCATGACTTTCAGAAAACAAAAAACACATTGCTATAGATGAGAATGACTGGTCTGGTGCCACAGCAGAAAATTAAATAAAAATCATAATGTATTTTCACAAACGATTTTGAATCCATAGACTCAACAGATCCACGAGACAAGAAAGACTGAGAAAACGAGACATCACAAACAATTCATTTGAAAGTTAAATCTTCTGCCGCATTTCTTACCAATTAACTGGCAGGTATAAACCAATGAACATAAACGCTTCTTCAGCCAAAAGGATGAATCCTCCTAGTAGCAGCTTGACTATCGAACCTGAGTAGGAGAACATAGCAACCCTGAAGCATCTGCCCCAACCACTGCAAGATCACAAACAGTACAGAGCTGCCCTTCTTGAGTTGGCACAAACCGTGAGCTACAGTACGGGCAAGAGACATCCTTCTGTCCTCGGTAAATTGGTACATATGTTGCCCCACAAGTCACAAATGGGTTTCTGAAATCATAATTCAGTTGAGAGGCATCAGTCATATTCCTCTCTGCTCCTTGCAGCACTTGCCTGGCTGTCTTTGCTTGAATCTCGATGGTGGGGTTGGTTTCCAATAGCCGCCTGGCAAAGTTAGCTGCAGTGGCAAAGTTCTTTGCCTTGAAGCAAATTCTCGCTGCATTAACCAATGCAAGCCTTACGTGAGGCATTTGAAGATTGCAGTGTGTGAAATAAGCTGCAAGCTCCTGTTCACGTACTGGATTATCCTTAATTTCCCTTCTCTTCAGCTCCATGTGCAATCCCAGAACATACTCTCTCACTATTATAATTAACTCCTTAACTTCATCAACTTCCCTCCTTGAATCAACAACAATCAAAGGAATTGTGTGAAGAATACTAAGGAAGAGCCTAAGAGCTTCAGTTAACTTCCCAGCTGTTGTAGCCTTGTAACCAGCTTTGAGTTTCTCTTCCAACTGAGAAAAATTGAACACAAGTGCTGGTGGGCCTCTCACATTTGGGGTAGCAGATTCATTCCACCCTCGCTCAACAGCAAGTGATATCACAGGAGTAGATGAAAATGCACGTAGATAGCTGTGACTGCCAGTGTGAAGATCAAGAAACATGGGTCTCAAGGGAGCAAAGTTTTTTATTCCAAGCTGCCTGTTCAGCAAGCGCATTGCAGTATCAAAATTTCCTGCTGCTGCATGTTCAGCAGCAAGAGAAGATCTCTGGATCCAAATCTGGCTTACAGGCATGCCAATAGTCGGAGCAACAAAAACTGATGAATTAGAATTAACCGAAGCCCTTGGTGTGTCCGCTTCAGGGGGGAGCTCCAAATCTTCAAGGTCCCATCCTCCCCCTTCCTCATTTCCTTCAGCCACTTCCTCATCTTCCAATACAGCAGTGACATCTCCATTTTGCAAGCCATCAACGTCAACCATGTCCAGCTCCTCACCCCAGTCACCATCAGCAGCCTCATCCTCTTCGTCTGCAGCTCCCCTGCCAATATTATCCAACCCACCTTCAAATATACCTCTCATGACTCTAAGAAGAGGCCAATCACCACCGCACATAACTGGCGTTGGGGGCATCAAAAGAGTGGGTACTTTCCCCTGCGGCAAGGTTGGAACATTTTCTCCCAACTCAGCAGATAGCCGTTCAGCAACATCATGTAGGCCATGAACTGAAGCTGTGATGTAAGCAAGGGGTAAGTGGCCAACGTTCTCCAAG